TTGCTTAGTGGAAAGCGTCAATTATCATTCCTGTTTATTGAACTGTCAAATGTTATGCTGTGAAAAGCAATGTATGGGCAGCCTTCCCCTCAGCTATGGGGAAAAGGGTTATAAATTGTAGCCTTCGGTTCACAGGTATTGCTCCAGGTCACATTCCAAAAACACAAATAGCAATATCACATCATCTGACATAGGAGAAGTTTACTCACAATGTTTTTAGGTATGGCTCTATTATGTTAAAAAGAAGAAAAAGCTTTTGAATTGTGTATATTGGCCAACTACACAGTATTTTAAAGCAGAACTCCGGGGTGAAGTTCCTCTTTAACATTTTGTTGCTACTGGCCTATTGTCCCTCACTATACTTCTACTCAGCATCATCAGGCTTTATAGATTTAGCTTACTACTATCTTTCACTTGGAGTTTGCTCTGTTATTTTCTCCTTTTAACATCTTTGTTCTGATTTTATTATCATCATTATTACTACTACTACTGCAGGTATTTATATAGTGCTGACAATTAGGCAGCGCTTTACATACTACACATCAGTCTCTGCCCTCAAGGAGCTTAAGGTCCCTATCGCACACACATACAGATCCAATGTACCTTCCAGAATGTATTTGGAGTGTGGGAGGAAACCCATGCAAGCACAGGTAGAAAATGCAAACTCCATGCAGATAGAGTGCTGACTGGGATTTGAACCAGGGACCCTGAGTGCTGCAAGGGAGAAGTTCTAACTACTAAGCCTCTCTGCTGCCCACACACAAATGTATTTATTTTTTTCTTTATGACATCACTGTTCACGCCAACACCATCAGCACATATTAGGGCTGCTGCAGACCTAAGTGATCCAGGATGCGGGACCCGGGATTGCGCGGTCATGCACAATTGCAGACAGCGATTTCTGCGTGGCCCCATTGATTTCAATGGGGTACATCCGCGCAGCAATCGCAGAAAAAAGGTAAATGTAACTTTTTTTGCGATACACGACGCGCGATCGCGTTCGGATGCACAGGCGGAAAACCGCGTGCTCTGCCCAGCACTACTGGGGTGCCATTAGAAAATCGTGGCACCCAAAGCGCGATCGTCAGTGATGGGCGAATCCGTGACCGCGCGGTATCGTGCACGATTGCCGCGCAGTCACAGATCGCCCAAGTGTGCACCGGCCCTTAAGACTAGGTTCACACGTAGGCAATTTATTGTGCGGATTTAGCTGCGCGATATCGCACTCAACAGAGGTTTGCATTCAAGTCTATGGAAGCTGTTCACACCTTTGGGATTTGTCACGCGGTAGAAATCGCCTGTTGCGCAAAAAGGTGCAGAAGCCATTGTTGGCCGGTTGTCGGACGGTATGGATCCCAAAGACATCTCTATGCAGTAAAAACTGTTCCGTTTTCAGAGCAAAAATCGAGCAAACAAAAACGTACTCAGCTCAATCGCCTAGGTGTGAACTCGCCTAAAGCTGCTTCTCAATCACCTTCTCCCTCCAAGCACTTAGCTCTCTCCTTTTCTTGCATTATATGTTTAACCTGGCTGTAGACAATGCGATAAGTTTCCTGAAATGCCAGGCTGTGGGCAGTAAGGCCACCTTCACATCTATGCATGTCATGAAATGCACAGCAACTCATGGGGTAGAGCTGATTTAGGCTGGGTTCACACCTTGGCGTATTGAATATGCGTGTCTGTCGCGCATTTTTTTTTACCGCGATTCGCGGTAAAAAAGTTGCGCGACCGTATCGCGATTTCGAAGGCTACTTGGCTGTATCCCAATGGAAAACGCCCTACAAAACGGCCCAAAGTAGTACCTGGACCTTTTCAGGCGTGGGACGTTTTGTAGGGCGTTAGGGACGGGCGGAAATACGGCAAGGTGGGAACGAGACCATTGACTACAATGCAATGTATATTTTTGACCGTTTTGTAGAGCATTCGTCGAACGTAGAACGCGCTACAAAATGGTCAGGTGTGAACGAGGGCTTACACTCCAGCGAGCTGTTGCAGTGCATTAACACGTTACTTTGAGTGGTAACGTACGCTACATTATGACATCCCAATCACCAAAGATAAAGAAATACAACCCAGCACACCACAAAGAGTGCTATGTATATTGTGGTGTGTGTTGAGGTAGTTGTGTGCTGTACTCTACCATACAGTGCATTGAGGTGCCATTCACAATGAATGGCACTGCAATGCAAAGCACATACAGCAGCTGCTGTATCACCCATGTGAATGGGTCCATATATGTGTGTTCTGCTTCCATCCATTTAGATAGTAAAATGATATGAGCTGCTGAGCCATACAAAGCACAACAGGGCAAGTGCATTTTTTTCTCATGAGTTGAAGTGCACTGCCAGCCTATTTAACATTAAAATTCAATTTAAATCATATGTATGAAAGTTTGTGCGTTAATGCATTCACATCGGAGGGCCATTGCAACCAATCAGAATCACTGTTTCATTTTTATACCTGTAATACAGGCATAAATGTTATCCTGATATGAACAGCAGATGGTTAATCTCAATGGAACAATGCAGCAGGGAGGTCTTATCCCAGGACAGGACAAATCCCAAATGTCAGGTCGACAATGCTCCTTTAATAAATTACAACTGGCACCTACATTTTTTAAATTTCTTCTAGTTGTAGTAAGTGGAGCAGTCGCCTAAAAAAAATCCTGCTGGCTCATGGATTGGACAGATTGGCTCCTGAATATGAATTTGCCCACCTTGTCTTATCCTTTCTCAATGTCATGTGCATGCCCATTAGCCCAACGTTTTCCATCCTTCGCCCCAGGCAAGCAATAGGCGCAAACGCATTACCCACCCACCGCCACCTTCAATGAGGTCACAATCTACAGCAAGGTATATAAAGATGACTAGGGAAGGTCCACATTGCTCAGTACCACACACACGGCTCTATCAGTCTGAGCCAAAACCCATCTGAACTTACGTCTCAAAAGCAGACAATTTTCAGCATAATGTAAGACTTTCCCAAGAGCTGCTACAGCCTTTTACTGTTTCCAAACACATCCCGTTGTACGTTTGTGAACTGATCACGCTTTGCAAATGACAATGAATCACTTGAATCTCTCAAACAGGATTTTGCGTAACACAATAATTAAAAGAGACCCTGTCACCAATCCATTCACACCGAGTTAAACACAGCAGGTAATTGAACTCATACCCAAAAGTCAATTTTCATTTTTTTCCTAATTTTGCTCCACAATCCCCCACTGCACTGTTCCAAAACCAGGACTTATATTTGTAAACACCTCCAAAACCTCCAGATCATGCTAGATCTGGGATAAGTACATATTGTGTAAACACAAGAGGCATGGTTTATGTTATTCCTTCCAGATCTGTGCACTAATCCAGAGCGAATCTTTACCTCTGTGCAGAAACTCCCTGGATCAAGGACTGCTGCTCTCTCTCCTTGTGCAGGGAGACTGGTCTTGTCTCCACCCCCCTCTTGTAGATTTCTGCAGTCTGCCTGAAGTGGGTGGGGCCTTTTGAGCCCCTCCCACAGCGTTGCTCCTTGCACAAGGTATGTACAGCACAGTGATGATGGCACTGCTACAATTACAAGGTAAAATCTAGATTTGCAGAGGCATTTGGCGCACACAAAGTGGATTTATACCCTTTATGGCTATGGAGAAAAGTTTTTGTGCCTGGAGTTTAGAGAAAAAACTACCCTTGCAGTGCCAACCTCCCGTATACAATGCTCACGTTATTCCTCGCTCCAGCAGGCTCCCTTTATCTGTGCAACTGGTCCCGTGAAGCCTTCTCTCCAAATGCTACTGGCCGAGGTCACATGCCTGTCTCCTCCACATCCAATGCAAGGCTAATGACGTAAAGGGACCCTCCACCACTCAGTGCATCAAGGAGAACAGGAGAGCAACGTTTCAGAACCATCAAATGTTCCTTCATAAGGCAAACATAGTGGTTACTGGTAACTATATTTGCCAGATGAAGGAACCGTTGATGGTTCAGAAACATTGAAGTCCACTAGTGCCACCATGTATTCTTAACATCAAAATAAAGGCGCTTTGACACGTTGAACTTGGTGTGCGGTGTGACAACTTGCATATCTGGATTTATGCGATGCCATCCGCTAGTCACGCCAGCACCCATTTGACTGCATTGGGATTCTGGTTTGGAGTGCGATGGCATGCTATTATGGGAGACCACCAAAGCCTGCCGAAGCGAGGATATGGTAAGTAATACCACCTCTTCATCTCCCCCAGGAACATTTAACCCGTGTAGTGCAGGGGGGTTTCCGCCACAGGGGTTTTTTTTTTTCTCCAGCTCAGAGTTGGCCTTTAAAGCTACCCTAAGCCTACCCATCACAAGTTGCCAATGCGCTGTCTAGTTATTACCATACATTGTTTATCACAAGGAACACTCATCATCAAATCAGACAAACATGACACCGCAGATGGATGCACCATGGCGTATTTACAAAACATCAGCAGCTCATTTTGTTGCCACTTTGGATGACTGATTTATGAACAATGGACCCCATACCTGTCTATTCTTCACCGGCAACTGTATCAAATCATACATCAAAGCTGCCGCTCACACATCAGATTATTATGAATGTGGAATAAGTTGATCAGCTCCATAATAGCAGTCCTCAGCCTATGACATGCCACAACTATTGTACACACAGACCTGAAAAGTCCCATTTTACTAAATGTGCATTTCATCAAGCCAAATGCAGTGTACATATGGAGCATCACATGCCCTGTGCACAGCTAGGAGACTGGAAGGCAGCGTGATCTCATCATGACCTCTACGATCATTCTCCACATTCTAGAACTAGACATATCGGAACATCTCCCCACTTATGAGTGTGTCTATCCAACGTGACAGTGATGAATCACACACCGATCTGCATGATCAGACCGCACATCGGGCACAGCAGAGCCTACACACAGCTCAGTGTGCCCTCCTGTTACCGTTTTATGGTCATTAAGTGGCACCGTGCCCTGGTACCTCTCGGGAACTCACCGTGCTCACCGCCGTTCACTGCTGGGGAGGCAAGACTTCCCGGCGCATCCCCAGCTGCCAACGGCGCATGCGCAGCTTACTCTCGCTTCGCCAGTAATTGCTGTCGACGCGAGACTTGCCTGCGCATGCGTAATGAGGGGGCCAGCTCTGTAGGAGAGGCAGAGGGAGATTTCTGCTGAGGGAATGCTGATAGTTTGCCGTAGGGCGATATTAGTTTACGTCAAGAAGAACGGATTGTAAAATGGTTGAAAAAAATGTTAAATAGTAGAACAATAAAGGGATTTAAAGAAATGTACACAGAATCAAATAAAAATAACTGCTTTCATGAGCTAATATCTTTGTGTTAACTTTTCAGGAACTTTATGAGGGTGAATTAATATTATTATTACTGGTATTTATGTAGCGCTGACAATATCGCAATACTTTTCTGGCGGTGTGATACCTTTAAAAAGTCCTGCAACTAGTTCATGAAAGCCTTGCAGTAGTTTGGTTATGAGTTCTGGTGCATGCTACAGATTCAGGTAATTCTTATTTGCACCACTTATCACTATGTCACAATGTGCCACTATGGCTGCACATTCAAAAATAATTACCCCCCCCCCCCCCCCCCTCCCCCCACTTTGTAGATGAGGAAACAAGGTATTTAAGACCAAATCTAAGTTGTAGTACAAAGACAGGTCAGAGTGCTCCAAGTTGGGCACGGTGTTGTAAAGAGCAGGGCATGTTTGTGTACGCCACCCTGCGTTACTGGTTACTAGGATGCTGTCTGGAGCACAGCATCCTTAGTTGCTTGGAAGCTGTTGGCTGCACGGCATCATAGTAACATAGTATGTAAGGTTGAATAAAGACCAAGTTCCATCCAGTTCAACCTATGTATGTGAGTGTGTATGTGTGTGTGTGTCTTTGTGTGTATTTATCTGGCTCTACAGCTTCCCATATCCCTGTAGATACTGCGAGAGAAGAAACTCATCCAATAGTTTATCAATGTTACCCACAGATACAACCGCCTGTGGGAGGGAATTCCAAACTTTCACTGCTCTCACAGTGAAATACCCCTTGCAAATTCTAAGACTGAACCCCCGGTCTTCTAACCTACTGTTGTGTCCCAGGGTTCTCAATACAGTTTTGGCATGAAACAGTTGGTTCCGAGTATTGTGGTCCCCATTGATGATTTTGAAGACTGCAATAAGGTCCCTTCTTAACCGCTTCTTTTTTAACTCACTTCTAAGGTGAATAAGTTTAGATTTTGAATGCGGTCCACATAACTCAGGACTTCAATCCCCTTAATTCATTTTATAGCCCTTCTCTGAACTCTCTCCAGTTCCAGGATGTCCCTCCTGAGAGTCGGCGACTAGAATTGTACCGCATACTCAAGATGGGGCCGAACCAATGATTTATAAAGTGGAAGTATTACTCTTTGATCCCTTGCTACAATTCCTCTTTTAATACACACCAGTATTTTGTTAGTTCTGCTGGCCGCTGCCTGGCATTGCTTACTATTGCCAAATCTGTGACCTATGAGCACCCCCTGGTCTTTTTCTATGTCTGACTTCTCTAATGTAGCACCCCCCCAAGTAGTAGTTTGTGCACATGTTCTTTACTCCCAAGTGTATAACCTTACTTTTTTCCACATTAAATTGCATTTTCCATCTTGTAGCCCATGCCTCAACTTTCCTTAGGTCCTTTTGTAGTGCGAATATCTCCTATTCGGAATGTACTGCTCTGCAGAGTTTAGTATCATCTGCAAAAACCGAAATTGAGCTATTTAGTCCAATCTCTATGTCATGGATGAATAAGATGAACAGGATTGGTCCCAGGACTGAACCCTGGGGCACCCCACTCCTAATCCTTGCCCAATTAGCAAATCATTCATTTATCACTACCCTGTGGGTCCATTCTTGCAGCCAATTTTCCACCCATGTACATACAATTTCATCTAGACCTATAGACCTTAGTTTATGGATTAAACGTTTGTAGGGTACCATGTCAAATGCTTTAGCAAAGTCCAGATACACCACGTCTACTGGCATTCCTTTGTCTAATTTAGTACTTACTGCTCTGTAAAATGTTAATAGATTGGTTGCTAGGATGCCATCAGCTGCGCATCCACCAGCATCCTAGCAACCAAAGATGCTGTGCAGCCCGGGGGCTGAACAGGCACCTGGCATGGACTGTACAATTTGGACATGGACACTCTGGTTTCAGCGTCCCCCTCCCCTCATGTCTCCATTCAACAAATTATGTACAGGTTTCCGACCAATACATTATTATTTTTTTTTACTATATTTGTCTATGCCACTCCTTATGAATTCCAGGCAGTCTATTCAGGGAATAGTTTCCAGGTATGTCACAATATACAGCAGCAATATTGTTTTAAAATAAAGCGCAATCTATTATTAACCACTTGCTGACCGGAGCAATTTTTTACATTTGCACACACATGATAAAATCTGAATTTTTGGCTAGTAAACAGCTTCAGACCCCCAAACAATGATATATTTTCTGAAAGCAGAGGCCCTGTAGAATAAAAAGCTGCTGGTTGCAATTTTTTATGTTGCACGGTGTGTGCGCAAATGTTTATCAAGACAGTATTTTTAGGATAAAATACACTAAAATTGAATTTAGTACACATAAACAGAATATAATACCCAATTTTTTGGTAAAATATAAAAGATGGGGTCACACTGGGTAAACAGATACTAAACATGTCAAGCCTTAAAATTGCGTGCTTCCGCGAAAGAGCAAAAAACTACAATACCCCAAATTTCCCATATGCAATGCTTCAAATGCTTTTACTGCTCATCAGTTTAGTATAAACAGTGATTAATGGCCCTAGAATTATTGGTCTCACTCAGACTTTCGCGGCGATATGTAACATGTGTGGTGCAATTTTCGTTTTTGCACGTAGGCGCATCCAACACATGTTTGCATTGTATGTGCGTTCATGTGGGGGGGGGGGGGACTTTTAAAAAAAAATGAATTTTTCTACACTCAACTTTATTGCTATCTCATCGGGGGCTAACAAGCCCCTTATGTAATAGCAAGCAGGATCTGACAGGTCATCTTTATAGAGACATCAAAGGTCTTTCAGACCCCCTAATGTCACCTAGGGGTCTGAAGGAGAAGAAGCCTGCTGATCTTCCTCCGATCCATCAGGGGAGACCCACAAGGAGGACAGCAGAGCCTTGGGAAGCCAGCGGCGTCGGAGGGGGGGGGGGACACACAGCGTCATACCATACAAGCGATCCGGCGCAGGTACAGACGCCGAATCGCTTGTACAGAAACAGCAATCACCTGCTGTTTAAAACAGTACCAAGAATATGACTGTAGCAGCTTAGTATAACCACTTCAAGCGGGTGATGTGTATTTATGTGAGCCCGCTTGACGTGGTTAAGAGCCCTTTTAAGCTGTAGCACTGCGTTACAGGGTGTTACCCTGAGAAAACTGGTCGGATGACAAGCAAAACATCTTCAAGAAAAATACAAGTCCAGTTGCTTTGATTTATTTTAACAGATAAACCATAACCTGGATGAACGAGAACCTTCCCAGAGATACATTATATGTGTTATTGTGTTGTATTTTGCACGTTAGCTTATTTATTTTGAATAGGCTTCCAATGCACAGTGATGTGTATTTTAACACAAATTGTTAACATACGTGCTGTGGTGTGTGTGCTAAAACACAAATGTGCTGCCTAGGTGTGTTAGGGGAACAGGAGCATGTCTTGTAAAGTGTAAGTAGGCTCGGCATAACTGCACATTGAGGCAAATTTACCTCTGAGTTTTCCTTCTTTCAGTGAAGCAAGGTCCACGCTATTACGCCTACAAGACTGGAATCTTCTTTCTGATGATATACAGCAGGCCAACCAAAGTGCCATTCCTGGCCAATTCCTGCTGAATAAGACAAAATTTGAGCTGTACAGGTGAAACTCGAATAATTAGAATATCGTGCAAAAGTAATTGCAGTAAGTGCTGGAAAAGGGGCCCAAACCAAGTACTGAGTACATATGCATGCTTGTACTTTTCAGAAGTCCGATATTGTTCTATGTATAATCCTTGTTTTATTGATTGCATGTAATAATCTACTTTTTCTAGGTTGTGTATTTGGGGTTCTTGGGGTTTTCATGAGCTGTAAGCCATAATCATCACAATTATGACAAATCACGGCTTGAACTATCTTGCTTTGCATGTAATGAGTCTATCTCATATATTAGTTTCACATTTTAAGTTGCATTAGTGAAATAAATGAACTTTGCACGATATTCGAATTATTCGAGTTTCACCTGTATGTGGCCCCCATCAGCACCACCCGATTCAACAAAAAGTCGATCTTTTAATGGACTGTTGTTGAAGGAGCTGGGTGGAAAGTTATTGGCCGAACAGTGCCGGGAGCAGTGGCTGCTGAATACAGTAGTTGGCAGCAGGAAGGTAGGACTTAGGAGAGATGTGTCCAGGGAAATCATCTATACCCAATGGCATGTAATTGTGCCATGTACGTTTACATGCAGACTGTTGTTGACAAATGCATCCACTGTCACCCTGCCATTAACTTAAACGGGCACAGCGGCCTCATTTGAATTGTGACACCTGGAATTCTTGCCACAAGAATCTGTAGGTTCTTAGGCAAGAAATCCCGGAACACAGCATGTGAATAAGGCCTAAGGCCTCTTTCACATAGACGGCAGCCTCCACCTCCCCTCGAAAAGCAATATGCAATGGAGCAGCGGTTTGCATGCATTCAGAAGGTGATATTGCCACCTCCTCAATTCCCGTTTGTTTTTTCATCTGAAGGGAGATTTTACATTGAAAAATTGTGCACCCAGCAAATATCTGTAAACATTTGTTTTGGGTGAATAATGCCAACATGTTCTTAATTTTAGATTGTAAGCCCTCACGGGCAAGGCCCTCCTCACCTTACAACACCCTACATTCGGACTGGGAAACAAATATACACTGAGTGGCCAGTTTATACACTGAGTGGCCAGTTTATTATGACCACCTGATGTTTGTAGGCAAATTATCTAAAATTAGCTATAATTTTGCGCTGAAGTTGCTAGAGGGCCAGACCATTATAAATAGGGAAGCAG